CGGGTTTCCAGCAATGGACAACCCAATATATAAAGATTTACAACACTATACTAAAATTTAAGAGACCTACAATGGGTCTCCAAGATGAAGATGCTCTTATGTATGAATGATGATGTGTTGTGATTGAAAGAAGGAATGAAGATCTGTTTATAGGAAAATTTCAGGCTTTACAACGCTTTTACGATGACTTTTTACGACGGTTTTACATTCAACAATAATATTACGACGAGTTTACGACGATTATGCGATAAAATCTTTCATCTACAATTGTTAGGTAAACATGTTTTAAATGTTTTTCACCTAACTTCTTTTTCGACGTAAGATCGTCGTAATATGTACATCGAAATGCAGTCGTCGTATATTCGTCGTAATTTTGCATCGAACTTACGACGATTTTACATTTACTAGCAAATCTCTCGTTATCGATGTATATTCGTCGTAAATTGTACGTCGAGTTTACGACGATTTTATTATACGACGGTGTTACGACGGTTTTTAAATTAGACGTAACATCGTCGTAAAATCGTTATAAGTTTGCGATGATTTTAAAACCGTCGTAATGGACCGTTGGAAAACGATTGTTTTCTTGTAGTGAATTATCAATATTATAAAATTCGACCCAATAAACTTAACAATATACCCAATAAAATTAAAATTTTAAAAAATATTCAAAGCCTACATATGCGTGTAGGGCCAGTATCCTAGTTACAATTATAATTCGATACTACCACACTCAATTTTGGCTATTCTCTTTCTTTCTCTCGATGACAAATTTACTCAGCGTTTACAATATACCTGTTAAATTTTTCTAAGTTTTTTTTTCCATTTTCATTTCTTTTTCTTCTTCAAATCTTCTATATACATGAGAATTATAAATAACATACTCGAACAAGGAGACAAGTTTATGTTCTATATTGATTAATTTATATATACTATTATTTTTTTGTTTAATAATGTTATTCTTTGAGCAGCACGTTACGATGTTCATTACCAATCGGATCCTGATGTACCAATAGGTACCAGAAGAGATCACTATGTATAGTGATTTTTTGGGCAATTGCTTTTATAAGAGTTATTACAGCACTTTTAACATTAATGAAAGACTGGAACAATAACACTAAAAAAACACCACTGTTGATGAGGTAAGACTTGCAAAGCTTGTCTGGAATTTAAGTTCATAGTGACATGTGAATGCATTTAAGTACAATTCATTGAGATATCTACAATTTTAAGTACAGTTTTGTCGATGTAAATATCATAGTGTGAAGTTTTAGAGCAGCTTTGTTAAAATCGGTTCCTTGATTATTGTTTGACAAGCACTGTATTTATCATCTATCCAGCTCAAAATGAACAATCCCTATACCATGCTATTCTCATTTTGGGTTTTGGAATGGATGATTGTGGAATGTATTATTGGATAATCCAAAATAGTTTTGAAATAAGTTTAGACAAATAAGGATTTGGTCGACTTCACCGAGAAATACTTTAGGGTGACACTTATTGTTTATCAAACTATATTATGGAAAGAAGATTGAGTATTCTGAGAAGACAAAACTAAAAGATTGAATTTTTATTTTTATGAAACAAAAGGTACACCTATATGTTTATGGCTCTTGGTTTTAGATTTTATCATTGGAATATACTATTATGATCATCATAATTGTTCATGCTTTGAAAAGATTACATAGATATTGCAAATTAAATGGAAAGCAAGTAAATCATGTTGAGAATTTTGCAACTAAAATCGGAATGGAAATGTTTGTGGATTGTTGTCTGTCGAAAATTTTTATATGTAATGTTGTACAAATTTGATATTGTTTTAACGATTTTGATTTCACTGTGCTGTCTACTTTGCATATCTAAGATTCTAAACTGAAGTTTTAAAATGACATATTTGTGTTTCTTTTCTTAATTTTAAAAGTATAAAAAATGCATTTTATGTTTATCAAACAAAAATTTCATTTTTTTGTTTATGGTTATTTAATGCTTCGATTAAATCAAAAATTATTGTTGACAAATCACAAAATTTGGAATTGACAATTCTAATGTTACGCCCTGATGTGGTATATATTCAAACCACTTTCTCACGAGTTTCACACGGATGCACCATTCAGTTGAGCTGTTTTTCAAGTCTTCAATGTAATCAAATGGTTCCATTTTCCGATAAGATGTGAAAACTAAATAAGTTGTTAGTGTTTGTATATATATTGGAAACTTATCAAGAGGGCAATAATTTAGGGTTTCAAAGATTTCCAGCCATAAATACTAAATAAAACATATATTGGGTTATTATATCATCAAATATCGGGTTCGGTAAATTACAATGGGCATAATATATACAATATATCAACTTCTATAATTGCATTTCTGTTCATGATAACAATAGGTTTGATATAAGATATAGTAATCTTCCATTTAACACTCATTATAATTTATACTATTATTATCTTTCTAAACCAAAAATTAAGAACCTAAATTAAAAGTACATGTTTACACAAATTTTAGAAATTGATATAACACCATTAATAACAAATAGTCAGCGTATGTTAATAAATATTAGGAGAAGTTTAAAAAGCATAATTATAAGCAATGTTCATAAAAATAAGATAAAAACCATAAACCGACCAAACCTCTGAAGATTCAGCAAAAAAAAGTAAAAGGTTCAACATTATCCCCAAATATATGGGAATTGAAACAGTGATGAGTAGATATTTTGACTCCTTCTAACCTGTGTTTACTAATTGTTTTAGGAGTTTTTGGAGTCTTTTCAGGAAGTTTCAGGTGACTTAGGGTCTTATCAGAGGATTGGAGTGTTTAGGAGGCATTGGAACAAAAAGAGATGAATTTGAGCAATAAGGAGCTATTTCATTCGCTTTTGGAGAAATCATCCGCGGAGCACCTGCTCCCGGTTTGGACCCTTCGTGGAGCACCTGCTCCAGCCGGGAGAAAAATAAGGAAAACACCTTTACCTAATTCCAAGTCACGTGAAATGAATAAAAAGAGTCCAGAGCCGCCTATCTTTGCTTCTACGCTTTCTTTTTACAATTTCCTGAACCATAGAGTTTTTACTTGTAAGCTTTTGGGAGAAGAAATCTGCTACACTTTGAGAAGAATTTTGAACCCTATTATCTCTTCTGCGATTTTAATCCATGAATTTCTTTTCATCTGTTGCTGTGTTTCTTTTCTCCATGTCTGAGTAGATCTCTTAGCTAGATTAAAGGGTTTTTAAGGATTTCATGAGTTAAAGAATTAGATGCAAATAGGGCTTGATATCTATTGTCTTCACCATTGTTAGACTTAATGCTTAGGTTGAATTGATCACTCAATCTGCGATTTTAGGTTAATCTATTCATCAAAAGTGTAATAGGTTGCTAGAATAAACATTGGTGAGCGATTTGTCCTTAGCCAACGACAGTTGAAGTTAAGGCAAATCGTGAACAGATCGAACCTGCAAGCTAATGCTTGTCTGCAATTTTCTAGATTCAAACGACAGTTTAGGATTTAGGTTGTTAGACAAAGTTATCGAGATCACGACAGTGGATCGATAAGCTTTTCTGTTTTAGTTCGAAACTTTCTTTACACTTGTGCCCTGAATAGTCATATGGTTCTTATCTCTGAAATTCCTGCGAATTGCTTTGGTCTAGTGCTTGTTTTAATTTGAATTTAAATCGTTGTTTGCCATTCTGTTTACTTTTTAGTTTTCGCAACAAACCATCTTTCGTCTTAGCTTTAATTCAATCCTCGCAAAGTCATAGAGTAACACTGGTCCTCTGGATTCCGAATCCATTATATTACAACTACATCATTGTTCTATTGCAGTAGAAACTAGGAGTACATCCAGTGTGAATCAAAATTTTGGCGCCGTTGCCGGGGGACCAATTCGTTACCTTTGATTTTTGGTTTGAAATTCAGACTAAGAATTTACTAATCTTTCTCTCTTGTTCTCTTGTTTGCGTGTGTTTCAGGTGTATGTCAAACATATCCACAAAGAGCAACTGCACCGATCTTGTTTCTTTGTCGAACACCGAGCTAGCAAGAGTCGAACGAGAAAACAGACGTCAAAGGCCTATTCAAGCCAACATGGGCGATCAAGGCAACAATGACAACATGGCTGTCGAGCTACAACAGTTTCGACAGCAATTGGAGCAGCTGCAAAAGGCGCAGCAAGACAGGGAGCAGCCACAACCTGCTATTGGAGACAAGGACAGTCCGCATGCTTACTATCACAACAGGGCTGCGATTGCTCCTCCAACCATTCAAAGGCAAGACTTTGAGATCAAACCTTAGCTGATCTCATTGGTGAAGCAGCACCTCTTTCATGGGCTTCCTGCTGAGATTCCGATGGACCACATCGAGAATTTTGAGGAGATTTGCAGCACGACTGGATCAAATGGGATACCAGCCGATTTCTTGAAGTGCAAGCTTTTTCCATTCTCACTTGCGGACAAAGCTTTGCGCTGGCTGAAGTCATTACCACCTGGGTCATTGACTACATGGGAAGAGTGCAGATCAGCATTTTTGGACCATTTCTACACTAAGGCCAAAACTGCAGCTCTGAAGAACAAGATCTCGTCGTTTAAACAGCAACCTGGTGAAGCTTTCTGCGAAGCTTGGGAGAGGTACAAGGAGTACCAAAGAGAGTGCCCTCACCATGGGTTCTCTGATGAGCAGATTCTGTCAACCTTATATGATGGTGTCAACTGGGATTACAGGAATGCTTTGAATGCAGCTAGCAATGGTGATTTCATGACTAAGTCCAAAGAAGCTGCTTATGAGTTGATTGAGAACTTAGCTGCAAGCTCCAGCAACAAATCCCAAGAGTATGACAGATCTAGCAAAGCAGTTCATAGTCTGGATAGATGAGCTTACAGCAAAGGTGAATCTGCTGTTGAGAGAGAACCAGAGATCTGTGCATTTTGCTGATGAGGTTGGTGATGCACCTCTTGCTCGATAGTTTGTAGATGCAGAGAATGATGATCAGATGGAGGTAAATTTCGTGAATGGACAAGGGTATGTGCAGAATCGAAGCTTCAACAACTTCCAAAAACCACCCAAATTTATCCTACAGAAGCAACAATGTTGAGAACCCTCAAGATCAGGTCTATCCGCAGCAAGGAGTGCAGAATCAGTCAGGATTTCAGAAGAACTTCTCCAGCAACTTCCAAGGAAAGCAGTTCATCACCAATCAAAATCGATTTCATGGTGGAAATCAGCAGAAGTTGCCTTTCACAAGTCTACAGCCTTCTTCGAGTTCCTTAAATAACTCGCAGGATGAGCTGAAAAACTTGATGCAACAGCTGCTGGTTAATCAGCAAAAGTCTTCCATGGAGATGAATGCCAAAATGGACACCATGTACAACGACTTGAATGGCAAGTATGAAGCAGTGTGGACTCATGTGAAGAAGCTGGATGTTCAGGTAGCTCAGACTGCATAAGCTGTGAAGAGATCACCTGGAACTCTCCCTGGAAAAGGTGAAAACCCCAGGAATGAGTTTGTGAATGCTATTGAGCTTAGAAGTGGGCAGACTCTACATTCTGCACCAACAAGCTCTGTCTCAGAAAAGAGGATGGAAAAGGACGTGGAGCACCTGCTCCAAGAAAAGGAACCAGCTCATGACGTAAAAAAGACAAAGGAGCACTCTTCCCCCATCGGAGCACCTGCTCCAAATTTGGGAGCACCTGCTCCAGACGTAGATTTGACGATGGAGCACCCTGAGCCAACGAGGGAGCACCTGCTTCAGCCACCTGCTCCAGCAAACATTCCTGCAAGAGTTTACACGCCTAAGGTACCTTACCCAGTACCACCAAAGAAGTCTCGCAAGGATTTAAAGGAGGCAAAGTGCAGGGAGATGCTGAAGGACTTGACTGTAAAACTCCCTCTAGCTGATGCTGTTCAGATGATACCAGCCCTTAAAAGATACATGAAGGGGTTAGTGTCTGGGAAAGCTGTTGAGGAAGAAAGTGTCATGATGGTTTCGAAGGAGTGCAGTGCTGTGCTTCAGAACAAAGTGCTGAAGAAGAGAAGTGATCCAGGAAGGTTTGTTTTCTCAGTCAGGATTGGGAATGTGCTGTTTGCAAGGTCTCTATGCGATCTGGGTTCAAGTGTGAATCTGATGCCTTATTCTGTAGGCAAGCGATTGGGTTACACCAGATTCAAATCGACGAAAATCTCATTGGTGCTCGCTGATAGATCAACCAAATTCTCTGTTGGTATACTTGAGGATCTGCATGTTCAGATAGGCGATACACTCATTCCAGCAGATTTTGTGGTTCTGGAGGTCGATGAAGAACCCAAGGATCCTTTGATATTGGGTCGATCCTTCTTATGCACAGCTGGTGCAATCATAGATGTGAAAGGAGGAGTGATAGATCTCCAGCTGGGAGATATGTCGGTGCGATTTGAGATGAATTAGCTCCTTAAGAAACCAATGCTGGACGGACAGACATTTGTCATAGATGATGGTTCAGGCATTGCTGAAGAGGTTGCTGAAGAGGTTTTGGCCATCGATCCTTTGGAAGTTGCACTCACAAAAGCCGAAGGAGAACATGGGTATTTGAGTGAGGAAGCTGATGGGTTTGCAAGGATGTTGAATGCAAGCACAAGGATGCAAAGGCTGGTGGTGTACATGAGCTTAGAAGGCAAGGAGAGCTCACCTGCAGAAAAAGCCGACGGAGCACCTGCTCCGAACCCTGGAGCACCTGCTCCCAACGGCTTGATTGATGGACCTTGGAGCGAATTGAGAGCTCCAAAGCTTGAGCTCAAACCCCTTCCTGTGGGGCTCAGGTACGCGTTTCTAGGACCCAATTCGACATACCCTATGATAGTGAACTCTGAATTGAACAATGTAGAGATTGCCTTGCTTCTTTGTGAACTTAGAAAGTATAGGAAAGCTTTAGGATATTCACTAGATGACATTCCAGGGATTTCCCCTGATCTTTGCATGCATAGAATACATCTAGAAGATGAATCGATGACTTCTGTAGAACATCAGAGGAGGTTAAACCCGAATCTACAAGATGTTGTTAAGAAAGAGATAATGAAACTTCTAGAAGCTGGTGTAATCTATGCGATTTCAGACAGTAATTGGGTTAGTCCGGTTCATGTAGTTCCTAAGAAAGGTGACATCACTGTGATAAAAAATGATAGGAATGAATTGATACCAACTAGAACTGTTACTGGGCATCGAATGTGCATAGATTACAGGAAATTGAATGCTGCAACTCGCAAAGATCATTTTCCTTTACCATTTATCGATCAGATGCTTGAACGTTTGGCTAACCATCCTTACTACTGTTTCTTAGATGGTTATTCAGGTTTCTTTCAGATCCCAATCCACTCGGACGACCAGGAGAAGACGACATTCACATGTCCTTATGGCACCTTTGCGTATCGCAGAATGCCATTCGGCTTGTGTAATGCTCCAGGAACATTCCAACGCTGCATGATGTCGATTTTCACTGACCTGATTGAAGACATAATGGAAGTTTTCATGGACGATTTTTCTGTCTATGGAAGCTCATTTTCTGTCTGTTTGTCTAATCTGTGCAGGGTCTTGCAGCGGTGTGAGGAGAAGCATCTGGTGCTTAACTGGAAGAAATGCCATTTCATGGTGAGAGATGGGATCGTGCTGGGACACAAAATCTCAGAGAAAGAGATCGAGGTGGACAGGGCAAAGATCGAGGTGATGATGAGTCTGCAGCCACCAACATCAGTCAAGGGGCTTCGCAGTTTTCTGGATCATGCAGGTTTTTACAGACGCTTCATCAAAGATTTCTCGAAGATTGCCAGACCTCTGACGCAGCTGCTGTGCAAGGATGTGAAATTTGAGTTTGATGATGCATGTTTGGAGGCATTTCATACTATCAAAGGAGCTCTAGTCAGCGCTCCTATTGTCCAGCCACCAGATTGGGAACTTCCTTTTGAGGTGATGACCGATGCTAGTGATTATGCAGTGGGAGCAGTGCTGGGACAGAGGAAAGAAAAGAGGCTCCATGTCATCTATTATGCCAGCCAAACACTCGACGAAGCTCAGTGCATATATGCCACAACTGAAAAGGAGCTTCTTGCAGTGGTTTATGCCTTTGAGAAGTTCAGGTCTTACCTTGTTGGGTCGAAAGTTGTTGTTCACACAGACCATGCAGCGCTGAAATACCTGTTGACGAAGAAGGATGCCAAGCCAAGGCTCCTTAGATGGATCCTTTTGCTGCAGGAGTTTGATTTGGAGATTAAAGACAAAAAGGGATTGATAATGGTGTTGCAGACCACTTGTCGAGGCTGAAGATTGATGATGACATTCCACTAGATGACAGCCTTCCTGATGAACAAGTTTATGCCATAGATGTTTCTGGGTTCGACGAGCACCTGCTCCCCACCGGAGCACCTGCTCCGACGAGTTTTTGCAACCAAGTTGACATAGATCGGCATTCTGGTTTCCCATGGTTTGGAGAGATTGCAAATTACCTTGCTGCAGAGCAGGAACCTGCAGGTTTTATGGGAAACAAAAAGAAGAAGTTTCTGAAGGATGTGAGACACTACTTTTGGGATGAGCCTTATTTATACAGGCATTGCTCTGATGGAATCTTCAGAAGATGTCTAGCTGATGAGGAGATACCAGGAGTGTTGTTTCATTGCCATGGATCCTCTTATGCAGGCCACTTCGCCACTTTCAAGACTGTGTCGAAAATTCTCCAAGCTGGATATTGGTGGCCAACGATGTTCCGAAATGCAGCGAGTTTTATCTCCAGATGTGACACATGTCAGAGACAGCGAAACATTAGCAGGAGGAATGAGATGCCTCAGAATTTCATCTTGGAAGTGGAGATTTTCGATGTGTGGGGTATAGACTTCATGGGACCTTTTCCATCATCTTATGGGAATAAGTATATCCTGGTGGCAGTTGACTATGTGTCAAAGTGGGTGGAAGCTCTGGCTAGTCCCACGAATGACGCAAAGGTGGTTGTAAAAATGTTCAAATCTGTCATTTTTCCTAAGTTTGGTGTGCCGCGAGTGGTGATTAGCGATGGAGGCTCTCACTTCATCAACAAAGTCTTTGAAAACTTGTTGAAGAAGAATGGTGTAAAGCATAAGGTGGCGACCCCATACCATCCTCAGACCAGTGGGCAAGTTGAGGTTTCCAACAGGGAAATCAAGAACATTCTGCAGAAGACTGTGAGCACCACAAGGAAGGATTGGACAATGAAGATTGATGATGCTCTTTGGGCATACATAACAGCTTACAAAACACCTTTGGGGACTACACCATTCCACTTGGTGTATGGAAAAACATGTCATCTTCCAGTTGAACTTGAGTACAAAGCTGCTTGGGCAGTGAAGCTGCTGAATTTCGATGCAAAGAGTGTTCAGGAGAGGGGAGTAATGCAGTTGCATGAGCTGGAGGAACTTAGGCACCTGGCCTATGAAAACTCGAGGATTTACAAAGAGAGGACAAAAGCTTTCCATGACAAGAGGATCCTCAACAGAAGCTTTGCACCAAATGATCAGGTATTGCTCTTTAACTCTAGATTGAAATTGTTTCCAGGGAAGCTGAGATCGAGATGGTCTGGACCATTCACCATCAAGGAGATTTGACCATATGGAGCTGTAGTGTTGCTGGACACTAAAGGAGGCGAGTTTGTTGTCAATGGACAAAGGTTGAAACCATACCTTGCTGGTCCAAATATCGCAGAGGGTGAATCAGTCACCTTAAGTGATCTTCCTCAACCCTAAATGGCTTTCCAAGTTAAGCTAATGACTTAAAACAAGCGCTTGGTGGGAGGCAACCCACCGGTAAGAGTCTCTAACTTTGTGTCTTTCAATTCTTAGCTACTAACTTTGTTTTTAGGTTCTTTGTTTTCAAAAAAAAAAAAAAAAACAGGTAAGAAGTTGTTCAACGTGGAAGAGAAGATGTGAGGAAAAAGAAGGAAGAGCACCCAACCGGAGCACCTGCTCCATCTGCTGGGTTGGTTGCTCAAAGCGTAAAAACTGACGAAAGAGCACCCCTTCCCCAGTCGGAGCACCTGCTCCACAGGGTGCTCACCACATAAAAAGTGACAAAGGAGCAACCCAAGGGAAACCGGAGCACCTGCTCCGGCACCTGCTCCAGACGAACAAAAGACGAGGGAGCACCCAGCTCTGTTCCGGAGCATCTGCTCCGCCAGGGTGCTCTACATGTGCAAACCAGGTAAGTTTTCTGGACACTTCTCTAGCTTATTTTTACACCGGGGACGGTGTGAAGTAAGTCCGAGGGAGGGTCGTGTCCCTTGTACTTCTTTCTTTTGCTTTCTTCCTTTTAGTACTTTCTTTGAGTCAGTTTTTAGTTTGTTTGTTTGAGTCATTTAGTTTCTTTGAGTCAGTTGGTTATATGAGTCAAGTCAAAGCTTGTGGGAATGAGGACCAATTCTATGATGATTTCAGACCATTTGTGAATCTTGACCATCTTCTTTTAGTGATTGTTGCTGCAGAATCATCTAGATCGACTAATGGAAAATCCAAAGACAAAGCAGTAGACTAGAGGAGCCCAAAATTCTTGACTAGTCCATTGAACCTGAGATAATTTCTCAGCTCTTCATTTTTCCTCATCGATCAGGTTAGTGCTCATAGGGCTTGACTCCTCATTCTTACCTGACAAATAAAGACCTGTGTGATAGATTTGATATTCTTCTCTCATGTTCTAAGCATTGCTTTAGGCTGTTTCTTAAAAAAAAAATGATAAAAGGCAGAAAAGATTGAAATGATTTTCTTTTAGAAGTAAAGGGTTAGGAAAATTTCCAAGGATCCCATTATTTTACTTCTAAAGTGGAATGATCACACAAGGGATGGAAGCGAGGGGTAGGAAAATTTCCTGTGACCCCATTATTCGCCTACACCTTTGATATATAATGAGGGGACAAACCGGGGATTCGGTGGCAATCACCATCAATACTCGCGTCTTTGAACCTTGTTATATGTGCCGAAAAATTAAAAAAAAAAACGAAACAGCTTGAAAAGTGAATAAGTTCGGGGGAGAGGAAAGGTACTTTTGTGTAGTATGGTCAATTTGTTAAGGTATAAGTATGGGAACGAGTCTAGAAGGTCCTTAGCACTGGTTTTATCGATGAGACTCAGCGATGATGGGACATGGATGATGTTATGAAATTGAGGGACTAATCTGGAAAGCTGCAGCGTCTACGGAGAAGTACATGGAGGTTAGATTTTTGATTCATTTTGCAGCAGATTGACACATGCCTTGGTCAGGTTTACGGTCTTTTGAGTTTTGCGAGTTCCCAACTTTATCCAGTCATTGTTTTGGAATTGAATTTGAGTTTGTTTGAGGACAAAGAAGGATCCAAGTTCGGGGGAGTTGATGAGTGGATATTTTGACTCATTCTAACCTGTGTTTACTAATTGTTTTAGGAGTTTTTGGAGTCTTTTCAGAAAGTTTCAGGTGACTTAGAGGCCTTATCAGAGGATTGGAGTGTTTAGGAGGCATTGGAACAAAGGAGATGAATTTGAGCAATAAGGAGCTATTTCATTCGCTTTTGGAGAAATCATCCGCGGAGCACCTGCTCCCGGTTTGGACCCTTCGTGGAGCACCTGCTCTAGCCGGGAGAAAAATAAGGAAAACATCTTTATCTAATTCCAAGTCACGTGAAATGAATAAAAAGAGTCCAGAGCCGCCTATCTTTGCTTCTACGCTTTCTTTTTACAATTTCCTGAACCATAGAGTTTTTACTTGTAAGCTTTTGGGAGAAGAAATCTGCTACACTTTGAGAAGAATTCTGAACCCTATTATCTCTTCTGCGATTTTAATCCATGAATTTCTTTTCATCTGTTGCTGTGTTTCTTTTCTCCATGTCTGAGTAGATCTCTTAGCTAGATTAAAGCGTTCAAAAGATTTCATGAGTTAAAGAATTAGATGCAAATAGGGCTTGATATCTATTGTCTTCACCATTGTTAGACTTAATGCTTAGGTTGAATTGATCACTCAATCTGCGATTTTAGGTTAATCTATTCATCAAAAGTGTAATAGGTTGCTAGAATAAACATTGGTGAGCGATTTGTCCTTAGCCAACGACAGTTGAAGTTAAGGCAAATCGTGAACAGATCGAACTTGCTAGTTAATGCTTGTCTGCAATTTTCTAGGTTCAAACGACAGTTTAGGATTTAGGTTGTTAGACAAAGTTATCGAGATCACGACAGTGGATCGATAAGCTTTTCTGTTTGAGTTCGAGACTTGCTTTACACTTGTGCCCTGAATAGTCATCTGGTTCTTATCTCTGAAATTCCTGCGAATTGCTTTGGTCTAGTGCTTGTTTTAATTTGAATTTAAATCGTTGTTTGCCATTCTGTTTACTTTTTAGTTTTCGCAACAAACCATCTTTCGTCTTAGCTTTAATTCAATCCTCGCAAAGTCATAGAGTAACACTGGTCCTCTGGATTCCGAATCATTTATATTACAACTACATCACTGTTCTATTGCAGTAGAAACTAGGAGTACATCCAGTGTGAATCAAACAGATATAGTAGAGTTTAAGATGAAATAAAATCGGAGTTGATGTAGGATTTCACGGCCAGCTTGGATCTCTATGGATATCAGTAAATGGTAACCTGAAAAATTGAACCAATACAATTACCTAAACCACAAATACAATGTAAAATGAATAGAGGTATACTGAGAATAGTGTTATACTAATCTAGAAAATCGGAAACTTCTTTAATATGTGGATTTAAAAGTACTTCAGATTGGTCACCAGCATTTCTGATGAAGAAGCCGCTTATAACAAAATATAATCCTATATATTAATCATTTTTTCATATGAGGATCATTAAAACATTAGGTATCACTGATGTTAATTCAGCAAAGTAAATATGACTAACCTTGAGAATCATAGAAAACGCAAAACATCCTAAGAGTCAACACCGTTTCATATGTTCCAATTTCTTCCCACTTTCTCCAAAACTCCACTGCTGTTATTCCAGTCAGCTCAACTGTAAGTTCCCTGAAGCTGTTTGAAAATATAATATACATATCATCAGTGACTGATATTCCTTAGGTCATATTGCTAATAACTTAACTACTTCATGTCCCTTATTTCAATTTCCAAATTGCTCCATGGTCCATGTACCAAAGCATCAGGATCATCTTCTAAACTCTTCAAGTCACCAACAAAGATAATAACACCTATCAAGTCTGCAATAATACGTTCTATTAAATAAAGTATACGGGATAACATTATACTCTAACAAATCATGATGGTTCAGAATACAAACCGACAGAGTACAGAGAGTATATCTTCTGGTTGATGATATTTTCGAAGGGGATGAAATCCATCATATGCTTAGGGTTGCGGGCCGAGATTTTGGTTACAACAGTGTGTTCATGCATGATGATGAAATGGTTGTTGATAGTATTCCTGAATGAGCCAGACGCATGGACGATTTGAAATAAAGAAACACAATTCCACTCTCCTTCCTTAAAATTTTGAGTGAGGACGGGCATGAGATCCAAATCGATTGCCGCCTCAACCTTATAACCCTAACAATAGATACCAACGATATCATAATTTTAAAAGTATAAACCTAGACTGACTAAAATAATTTGTATTAATAAAAGTTATGGTAAACTATACTTACATTCTCATCGCCAAGAATCAAGAGTGTTTCAAAGCGGCCTTTGACGACGTTGAATTCCTGCCATTGTCGAATAACTTTAACGATGATCATTGGGAGAGGAGCATTGAGGGAAAGTTTATAAAGTTTGAGAAAGGCTGCCATTAATTTTTTGAAACAGGGATTTGTTTTCGCAGTTGTTGCTTTGTAGTTTAGTGTTCGACAAAAAGAGGAGATCTCTGTTGTTGGATAGAAAGAGTGGAATAAACTTAGAGTTGTTAATTTGAAAGATTGCGATTTTTGGTAATTAGGAAAGGGTAAATAACTGTTGCGTTAGTTGGGTAAGTGAGAAATAAATGCTGATTGGAAAAGCAAAGAGGTAAGTCGTATAAATGAGAATAAAGTTTTACGGTGCAGTATTTAATAGAGGAGATATATGTCAACTCAAGAACTCCCAGTATTTGAGAAAGGCAATCAGAGTTATGAGCATGGAAATATATTTATATTGAGTGAAAAATTCTACATAAACAAATTCACATTATCATATTTAATATTACCAAAATAGATGAAAATTATATAAACTTCTCACTGCGAAATATACTGTTATCAGTCTTGTTTATACGATTCCAACCCTTGAACGTTATAAATGGGAAACAAAATAAAGGGAGGATCAATAAATATATACTTATTGACATTTGTTCTTCATTACAGAGTTCAAGTATACATAATAAATAAGGCAAATGTAACATGACAAAGAAAATAGAATCATAAACAATACATATCAATGAAAAATTGACATAATAATTAAATTCATATATTTGTAGCTTTAACATTGAATAAGATATAAGTCAACCATCATATTCATACCCATCGTGACAATAGGGAAGTTCTTTGCAGAAGAAAATCTAACACCAAAACATAAAATAAGGAAAAAAATATGTTAATTAATAACTGACGTAAATTTCCTGACAAGATCAGTATAATAGATGAAGGAAATAATTACATAAACTGAACTATCTCCGCTTCTAGCAATAGACGTGGTCCTCGAGAATGTCGGATATATAACTTTCAAATTCCATTATCCATTATAACCTCTTAATTATCTCAAGCATGCTTGACTATATCTCAAAAAATCACATTACAAAAATACTGTATAAAACAATAGAAAGCGTTAAGGCTGGTTCAGAATGACATTGAGCCACAATAAACAGGCTAATTTGATAATGTTTAGATATCGCATAAAAACCTAAAGCGTCTAAAAATCTTACTGAACACATCTTTTACACAACATTATTTATCTTCTTCTGCACGTTATCACTCTTATCAGCAATCAAAATCTTCAAATCAGACCTAGACTTCACCCTTGATAATGCAACATATAGCTGTCCATGTGAGAATACTGGTCTAGGTAGGAATAAACCAACATTTTGAAGGGATTGACCTTGACTTTTGTTGATTGCAAAAGCCAATGTCACAAGAAATTGTCTTCGACGCATTCTAAAAGGAAAACTCGTTTCCGGAGGTGTAACAAACATTCTAGGAATGAGAACCTTATCTCCAACCTTATCGGTTCCTGTTATGATTCTACCCTCTATAACATGGCGAGCTAAATGTGTAGGAATCAACCTAGTGCCGTTACATAGACCTCCCTTAGGATCAATGTTACGCAAACACATAACTGGTGCACCTATCTTAAGTTTCAAACAATGTTTGGGCAATCCATAAACTTTGATTCCATTCAAAAACTCTGTAGGATATGTTACCTTATTAGATGGGTCTTTGTCGCTGGGTGCAATGCTGTCAGCGCTCAGGTAGGTATGTAATTCACCTGTAAATATACATTATAGGAAAATAAGTACTTTGAGCAATGTAGTGGGATTCAATAATATATAAATAAATAAATATATATATATTAAAACCATAATTTGTATAAATAATGTGTTACATGGCAGCAATGACAACATATAATCGTTAATTTGATCAACATCTTCGTTTGTAGGACTCAAAATAGCACGATGTTGATAAAAGTCTTCAGCATGTTGACTACTTATTAAGTTTCTATACACTTCTTTAACTATAGTTTTCGTTGGATCGCCACAATCTTTGATCAATAAATCTTCTGGAATGTCAATATCCACAACACCATTATTTGGAGTATTGACTTTACCATCACCAACAGCTAATATCCATTAGAGAATGCCTTAAGTTCAGCGGCATCACTTAGTCCAGCAAGCAACCTCATATTCTTAGTAACTTGTAAAACTTTGCAATCATCTCATAGTGCTGAAGAATTGATTGTTGCCATAACTGTTTCTGATCGGCCAGCATAAGAAGTTACCGGAAGTATCTAACGGAAGTCACCTCCAAAAACAACCACCTTCCCACCAAATGGTTTTCTCACAGGTAATCTGATGATATCATTTAGACTTCTATCTAAGTTTTCGAAACAATACTTGCTCATCATCGGAGCCTCTTCCCAAACAATAAGGCCAGCCCTTTTCATCAAATTGGCAAGATCTGATCCAGGAGGCATATTGCATTGTGTAAAATCATCTGGATTTATTGGGATTCCAAACCTCGAATGTGCTGTTCTACCACCTTCTAACAACAGAGCAGCAATTCCACTCGATGCAGTGTTGATTACTATCTTACCTCTAGATCGAATAGCGATTGAAAGGCAACTCCAAAGAAATGTTTTACCAGTACCTCCAAAACTATATACAAAGAAAACACCACCTTTGTAGTTCATAACAGCATCCAAAATCTCTTCATAAACACCTTTCTGCTCATCTTTTATCATGGCTAAAAGTCTCTCATTCTCTTTTCTTTGCTCCTCAGCATTGTAATTGAGTTCATCATGAATCAATCGGTTGCCGTTATACTCCATGAAATTATCTGGTTTTGGCATACAGTTCCATTTCTTTAGGGAACGTCCTCTGCTTTCTATAAGATACATTTCAAAATAAATGAATACATTTTCGCATATAATCTATAAAATATGTTCATATATGTCACATTTCGATGAATAACTTACGAACATAAAAATAATGTATGTATTCATAATTACATGTATTCTTTATCTACAATGTCTTCATTATTCATAGCTAATTATAATTACTTAGAATTTATAACTGCAAATATGAACCAATTGTAAGACACAATCCAATTCTTATACTAATAGCATATCATTCGGCCCAAATTTAGTAACACTGTATCCATACACTCTGTGAATTGTCAATATTATAAAATTCGACTCAATAAACTTAACAATATACCCAATAAAATTAAAATTTTAAAAAAATATTCAAAGCCTGCATATGCGTACGGGGCCAGTATTCTAGTTACAATTATAATTCGATACTACCACACTCAATTTTGGCTATTCTCTTTCTTTCTCTCGATGACAAATTTACTCAGCGTTTACAATATACCTGTTAAATTTTTCTAAGTTTTTTTTTCCATTTTCATTTCTTTTTCTTCTTCAAATCTTCTATATACATGAGAATTATAAATAACATACTCGAACAAGGAGACAAGTTTATGTTCTATATTGATTAATTTATATATACTATTATTTTTGTGTTTAATAATGTTATTCTTTGAGAAGCACGTTACGATGTTCATTACCAATCGGATCCTGATGTACCAATAGGTACCAGAAGAGATCACTATGTATAGTGATTTGTTGGGCAATTGCTTTTATAAGAGTTATTACAGCACTTTTAACATTAATGAAAGACTGGAACAATAACACTAAAAAAACACCACTGTTGATGAGGTAAGACTTGCAAAGCTTGTATGGAATTTAAGTTCATAGTGACATGTGAATGCATTTAAGTACAATTCATTGAGATATCTACAATTTTAAGTACAGTTTTGTCGATGTAAATATCATAGTGTGAAGTTTTAGAGCAGCTTTGTCAAAATCGGTTCCTTGATTATTGTTTGACAAGCACTGTATTTATCATCTATCCAGCTCAAAATGAACAATCCCTATACCATGCTATTCTCATTTTGGGTTTTGGAATGGATGATTGTGGAATGTATTATTGGATAATCCAAAATAGTTTTGAAATAAGTTTAGACAAATAAGGATTTGGTCGACTTCACCGAGAAATACTTTAGGGTGACACTTATTGTTTATCAAACTATATTATGGAAAGAAGATTGAGTATTTTGAGAAGACAAAACTAGAAGATTGAATTTTTATTTTTATGAAACAAAAGGTACACCTATATATTTATGGCTCTTGGTTTTAGATTTTATCATTGGAATATACTATTATGATCATCATAATTGTTCATGCTTTGAAAAGATTACATAGATATTGCAAATTAAATGGAAAGCAAGTAAATCATGTTGAGAATTTTGCAACTAAAATCGGAATGGAAATGTTTTTGTGGATTGATGTCTGTCGAAAATTTTTATATGTAATGTTGTACAAATTTGATATTGTTTTAACGATTTTGATTTCACTGTGCTGTCTACTTTGCATATCTAAGATTCTAAACTGAAGTTTTAAAATGACATATTTGTGTTTCTTTTCTTAATTTTAAAAGTATAAAAAATGCATTTTATGTTTATCAAACAAAAATTTCATTTTTTTTGTTTATGGTTATTTAATGCTTCGATTAAATCAAAAATTATTGTTGACAAGTCACAAAATTTGGAATTGACAATAATTATTTTACATTTGCAGTCTTTTATTCGGGTGGTAAACGATGAGTATATCAATCATTCATGTCGAGAATTCCTATGCAACTCAAAAAGGAGTTGATAATATATTTAATGATTATAATTTATTTGGTTATTTTTATAAAAAACATTTATCTAAATTTTGCGTACTGTAATATTTTGACATTTTTTAGTTCAAATATATATCATGCTTAGCTTTTTCTGCCTTGTTTGATACGCTTGATTTAACCATATTTTTATAATTAAACCATATAAATTTGCTGTTTGATCCGTTTGATCTGCATTTATATCATTTAATCTACATTTATTATGTCTGATCTGATTAATCTGCAATCATAAACCGTTTTCACAATTGGAGGTACGTATTATTACATGTGGTTTTTATTTTAATTCATATATTTGTTCTACTAATTAAATAATCACCTTTTAATATTTTTTTTTATGAAATATATATTTTTATATTATTATTTGAGTAGACATTTACATAAATGAAATTTTCTTTGTAAGATATTTCAAAATATTTTAAATAAATAAACATTTATTTATAAGATATTCCATAAATAAACATTTACTTAGAAGATATTACATAAATAAACTTTACAAATATAAAAAACTCAATTAAATATTACTCCGTAAGAGATAGTTCAATATAGAGCTCACAGATTTGTTTTGAATATGTATAAATATAAATTAAAAGTGTATTTAGTTTTATTACCTATTAAAATATTAAAATATATTCTAATTATTTTAAATAATAATCAATCTATTTGTATTTTCATAATTAATTAGTATCATTTTCGAAAATTAGTTCAATTATTTTTATTAAAAAAACTGAAATATGTTTTCAAATCTTAAATTATATTTTTTACGGATTGGCCAAAAACTTATTTTAGTAAATTACAAAATAGATTAAATAGACGGGTGTCTCCACTTTGATAATCGTATATATAATCATTATTAACATATATTATATAATTCATTAACTAAAAATGATAGTTTGATCTTTAATAAAATATTTATAATTAAATTCTTATTTTATGGATATATGTAGATATAGATTCTAATCCATGTTGGTATGTATATAAGTATATATAAATATTATATCACTTTCACATTGAAAAACTACGAATAATTAAACCGCATAACAAAACTAGTTTAAAGTCCTATTCGATGATATATATAGTATATAAGTAAATATCAGATTATCAGTTGTGTGATATTTATATATATATATATATATATGTATATATATATATTGTTATCTAATTGCCATCAATTTTATTTATTTACATATTTTTTAAAGGATTTTGGCCACTAATTTTAATTTAACAAAAAATATTAAATTTAAAAATTATTTAAAAAACATTACTCTCCACAATGTGCGGGTTAATTCCTAGTATATTATTATTTTTCTAACACATTAACAGACTGTCTGCTATTCCTTCGTTCTTCCGTTTAAACCCATATAATTGTAAGATCAGTGTAAAGAGAATGAACTAAACTCTTCTAAACATAACAGCAAAGTAAAAAGATCATGTAGACATCAGCATATCTTGAAAACTTAGAATTAAACACAATAACTTTGTAAAATTTCAACTTCACGTAGTTACTTATTGTCATTAAATAAAGTAGATATCAATATGGCTATAGAGAGTAAAACAAAGACACCCAAATTAAGTGTAAGGAAACATGAAGTTTGTTAACTTTAATTTACTACTACTTTTTTTTCTAATATGATTTTTGTAAACATTGAAGCTTGTTTTTTTTTTACTAGATCTATGATCCGCTGATCTGCTCAAAGTTTAATCCCTAGAGCTACTCTGCAAGAGCACAGATGTGTAGTTGTAGTATGCAGGGGTCGAACCACAGAGACGAGAGATTCACTCAATAAACCTATTATGAATTGAATTACGCTAAGCAGATTAATGAGAATCAAATAGCGATGCAAATAAAGATAAACGAATGCAGTAAAAACGTTTGTAAAGTTTAGATGGGTGGAGATTAGGTCTAGGGTGTTTCTCAGGAAATCAATGAATGCAGAACAATCGATTAATCAGGGCTCAGGTTTAAGCACGGTTCTTAAACTCAAATCACGAAATTATAACTAACCAACTTCCGTTGCGAGAATTATCTAAGTCTAAATCTCAAATTCCAAATTCCTTTGCAAATCCTAAAGACATAAACCAGCTTTAACCACAAGTTTGATATGTTCACAAAGCAGCTAAACCAAATTCCTTTGCGAATAGCTACTTTGCTCACTCTAGGTTCTTTCCAGTTATTCAATTACACTTCCGTATCAATCAATTAACCTAAGATCTAAGTTCTAGGTGGTCAGTCCAGAATTAGCTTTAAGAACAACCTATGGTGAAGAACTAAATAGATTATGAACCCTAACTAAATCAATTAATCAAACATCCAGAGAAAATCTTTATGAGAACCCTAAACCTAACAAGCAAACTACTCAGACATGGAGATTGAAGCAATAAACATGAATGAATAGATTGCAGTAAGCAGTAAATAGATTAATAAACAGGGGTTCGAAATCTTCTCTCTCCGGAACAGAGTTTCAGACTTGTCTCCCCAAAAGCTCTCAAAAACAAAAGTTCTCTCTCAGAAAATCTAAGGTATCGATATAAGGTGGCTAAAAACCCTATTTATAACTTAAAAACACGTTTTGGGCTTCCTTGTAACTATTGGAGACTTTTGGGTCCAACTCCTTCTTCAAACAGGAAACAAAATCACGTTTTCCTTATTTCTGCAACAAGTGTCGAGCGTCACTCTCCATGGTGTCAAGCGACACTAAAGCACATGATTCATCCTTGACGAATTTGATCCTGATTAAGCTCCAAAGTGCTCCAAAGTCTCCAGTTAAGCTCCAAACGTACTTATGACCTGTAAAGACTCCAAAAGACTCGAGAAACACTAGAAAGACTCTATAAATAAGACATATACCATGGTTAAAAACCATAAAAACCATGATATATCAACTCCCCCAGACTTAGCATTTGCTTGCCCTCAAGCAAACAGAACACCAAATAAGAGAAAGAGGTTTGAAAACACAAAGACTCAACCTTTCATTGGAACATCGCTTTTGACCAATCATCCTGCAACTCAACTACTGCTTCATCACTCCAAATCGAACCACCATGTACTTCTCCGCAGACATTCACTGCTTCCCAGATTGAGTCCAAAATTTCACAACATTGTCCATAAACCCTCATCGCTGGGTCTCACTGATGATTCAGATGCCAAGAACCTTCTAGATTCTTTCCCGTACTATACTCAAACAAATCAGCCATACACCCGTTGGTACTTTTCTCTCCCCCAGACTTATTCTTTTCACACACTCATCATCTTTTTTTTAATGGCATATACTCGATAAGGGTAAAGCTGCGAGTACTGATGGTGTTTGCCATCGAGTCCCCGAGTTGTCCCCTTATCTTGTATCAAAGGTTTTCAGCGAATAGTGGGGTCATGAGAAACTTTCCTACCCCTCACTTCCTTCCTTTGTGTGATCATTCCAACTTAGAAGTGAAATAATGAGATCATTGGAAACATTCCTAACCCTTCACTCCTAAGCGAAAATCATCTCAATCTTTTCGCCCTTTTCTTTTTTCCTTTCTTCTTCTTAGCTCATTACAGGGAGAGAAACACCAACATTAAATTTCACACAGGCTTTCATTGATCAAGTACGAACGAGGAATCAAGCTCTAAGGCATCAGTCACATCAACGAGGTAAAAGAAAGAGTTCAGAAATTAGCTCAGGTTAATGGATTCTGTTGGAAACATGGACGCCTCTAGTCAACTGGTCAGCCTTTGGATTTTTCATTAGTCGGATCTAAACTGAATCTGCAGCAGTGGTCACTTAGATGAAAGGTCAGCACAATGATTCCAAGAAAAACATCATAATCTCCAACAGGTTTTGACTCAAAAACGTTTTGACACGACTGACTCTTAAGAAAAACAAACACAATGTCAGCAACTACCTCCCCCAGACTTAAACAACACTGTCCCCAGTGTTATCTAGTCCGAAGTTGGTGAAACAAAAGAAATGAAACAGAGAAACGCAGGAAAAACAGAGAATTTACCTGGCCGCAATGATGGTGTCGAGCGACACTGATGATAGTGTCGTGCGACACTTGTTCTCTTCGTACCAAATTGCAGCAGATTCATCCGAATTTCTGGTTTGACTCCGGTTTCCTGATTTCCTAATTTTTGTTTTTTTTGACTGGTGTCGACTGACACTGATGGTGGTGTCGCTCGACACCAACCACTTCGTATCTATTACACCTAAAACACAAAACCAAAAAACGAAAATCAAAAGAAACAAAAAGACTTATGTACAGACTTACCAGTGGATTTCCTTCCACCAAGCGCTTGTTTTAAGTCATTAGTTTGACTATGGATAGACTATGCATCTGGTGGTTCAGACAGTGGCAAAGAATGCCTCTGTGAAAGTCGTCTCATCCATGGTGGTGTGTAAGCATTGTGCGCATGAGGTCGTCCAAGGAATACGGGAATAACAACAAGGTGGGATCTGTGTTTGTGTGGCCTTGACCTTTGCTTTGGTGGAGATGAATAGAGTGAGATGTTTTGAACTCCCTGATCAACAGCAGTCACTGGTTCTGTAGACGTTTTCTTCAACTCAGGTTGATCTCTCACCTTCTCAGCATCAAACACGTTCTGATCTCCAACTATCACTTCAGGTATTGCACTGACTTGGAATGTCTGACCATCTATGGTTGAATCCTTCAGCCTCTCCATCTTGAAAGTCATGATGGTATCTCCCAAGTGGAGATCAAGGTTACCATGCTTGACATCAATTACCGCTCCAGCTGTAGCTAAAAACGATCTTCCCAGGATAAGAAGATCTTTGGGTTCCTCTCCATATTCCAGAACCACGAAATCTGTAGAATTTATGCAATCACCAACTTTAATCGGAACATCTTCCAAGACACCTTTTGGGATTCTTTTAGATCGATCTGCTAGGATCAAAGAGATCTTAGTTGGCTTGAAATCAGTCATTCCAAGGTTAACAGCTACTGAATAAGGCATGAGGTTAACACTTGAACCAAGATCACACAGCGATCTCTTGAACCTCTCTGAGAAGATAGAGCAGTCCAAAACAAAGCTTCATGGGTCTGAGAGCTTCTCTGGAATCTTATTCTGAATTACAGCACTGACCTGTTCAGAGATCATCATCACTCCTTCCTCATGACTCAGATTATTAGTCACCATCTTCTTCACATAGTGTCTGAGAGTGGGAGCAATCTTCACAGCATCAACCAAAGGAATCTCAATCACAAGTTTCTCCATCAAAGCCTTGCATCTGGCATCATCTATCTCCTACTTGGACTTCCTAGGAATCCTTGGGTAAGGAACCTTAGGTTTGTAAACCTTTTCCTCAGCAGATTTCGGACTTTGAGCAATATCAGCTTCGCTCTGCAATTGGTGACGCGCGACACTGGTTATGGTGTCGCTCGACACCGGCTCTGCAACTTCGAAATTTTCTGCAGATTCGTCCAACTCCACGATTTCATCCTTAGAAACACCCTTTTTAAGCACATGAGTCAACTTTTTATCACTCCTTGACGAGATGGCACTGCAGTAATGCCTAGGATTGGTGTCAGTCTTCCCAGGAAGGAATCCTTCTTGCCTTTTTACAGATTCTGCAGTTTGAGCAACCTGAGTATCAAGCTTCTTGACATGAGTGTTCAGAACTTCAATTTTTCCATTCAGATCAAGGTAGAGAGCATCCATCTTTCCATTAAAGTCCACGGTGAGCTTCTGCTGACCTTCCAAAATTTGTTCCAGCATAGACTTCATCTCATTGTCAGGATTTTGAGGTTGAGATGAAGGAGTGCTGTAATTTCTAGAGAAACTGTTGTTGGAAAAGGGTGTCTGGTACTGAGGTTTGGAGCTGTAACCAAAAGAGTTCTGATTACCTGTGAAGGTACTCCTCTGATTATTTCCACTGTAATTCGTGTTTCCTGGCTGAGTACCAAATCTCTGACCCTGAAATCCAGCTCCATTGATGAAGTTAACATCCTCTTCCTCAAGTGCTTCATCTGGTTCGAAATTCTTAACCTCTGCAGCATATCGGACGGACTTCTTACCCACTAGAAGGCTATGCACAGAGTCAAGCTTAGCCTTCACCTCAGCAATCTGCGATCCATCCATGTTTCCACCCTGCTTCTTTCACTGATAGTCTGCATTCTTGGTACTATTGCTAGATGCCAAGTTCTCAATAAGCACAACAGCGTCTTCAGGGTATCTGGTGTTGAAGTTCCCATTGCTTGCTGCATCAACACCCATCTGATATCTCCAATCAACACCTCTGAAGAAAATACCCAACAGCTGAACATCACTGAAACCATGATGTGGACAATCTCTTTGATATGACTTGAATCTCACCCAAGCAGCCTTGAATGCTTCAGTTAGTCCTTGAGAAAACGTTGAGATTTTGAGTCTCAGTTCCTCAGACCTCGCATCATCATAGAAATTGTGCAGAAAGGCGTTCCTGGTCTTCTCCCAAGTAGTTAGTGATCCTGGCTCCAACTGCTTCAACTAGTTAGCTGCTTCTCCAGCAAAAGAGTAAGGAAACAGCTTGCAGAAGGGGAAATCATTGGACACTCCATTGTACTTGATGCTGGTGACTAAGTCCTCAAACCTCTCAATATGATCCATCGGGTGATCATGAGAAAGACCATGGAAAGGATGCTGACCCACAAGAGTGTAGTACACAGGCTTCAGCTCAAAGTCATTCGTCTGAAACGCAGGGGCGCGAATCGCGGACCGATTTGCATAGAATTGCTCAGGCCTGTTGTAGTCACCCAGCGTCCTGATGATGTTACCCTCTCCATCAAGTCGCTGGCCTCTCTCATTACACACATGACCATCTTGGTCTCTCCAGACTCCAGCATCATCACGAACCAATACCAATCTGTTCTCCATCTTTGCTAATTTCTGAGACAAAGAGAAAGAGCAATGTAAGTAACAAAGTAATAATAAAATTAAACGAAAACGACTGGTGTCGCTCGACACTAAGAAAAACTTAGTCGAAACTCAAGAACTAAAGTTTAATGGCGAAAATCAAGTCCCCGGCAACGGCGCCAAAACTTGATCTGCTCAAAGTTTAATCCCTAGATCTACTCTGCAAGAGCACAGACGTGCAGTTGTAGTATGTAGGGGTCGAACCACAGAGACGAGAGATTCACTCAATAAACATATTAGGAATTGAATTACGCTAAGCAGATTAATGAGAATCAAATAGCGATGCAAATAAAGATAAACGAATGCAGTAAAAACGTTTGTAAAGTTCAGATGGGTGGAGATTAGGTCTAGGATGTTTCTCAGGAAATCAATGAATGCAGAACAATCGATTAATCAGGGCTCAGGTTTAAGCACGGTTCTTAAACTCAAATCACGAAATTATAACTAACAAACTTCCATTACGAGAATTATCTAAGTTTAAATATCAGAATTCCAAATTTCTTTGCAAATCCTAAAGACATAAACTATCTTTAAGCACAAGTTTGATATGTTCACAAAGCAGCTAAACCAAATTCCTTTGCGAATAGCTACTTTGCTCACCCTAGGTTCTTTCCAGTTATTCAATTACACTTCCGTGTCATTCAATTAACCTAAGATCTAAGTTCTAGGTGGCCAGTCCATAATTAGCTTTAAGAACAACCTATGGTGAAGAACTAAATAGATTATGAACCCTAACTAAATCAATTAATCAAACATCCAGAGAAAACTTTTATGAGAACCCTAAACCTAACAAGCAAACTACTCAGACATAGAGATTGAAGCAATAAACATGAATTAATAGATTGCAGTAAGCAGTAAATAGATTAATAAACAGGGGTTCGAAATCTTCTCTCTCCGGAACAGAGTTTCAGACTTGTCTCCCCAAAAGCTCTCAAAAACAAAAGTTCTCTCTCAGAAAATCTAAGGTATCGATATAAGGTGGCTAAAAACCCTATTTATAACTTAAAAACACGTTTTGGCTTCCTTCTAATTATTGGAGACTTTTGGGCCCAACTCCTTCTTCAAACAGGAAACAAAATCACGTTTTCCTTATTTCTGCAACAAGTGTCGAGCGTCACTCTTCATGGTGTCGAGCGACACTAAAGCACATGATTCATCCTTGACGAATTTGATCCTGATTAAGCTCCAAAGTGCTCCAAAGTCTCCAGTTAAGCTCCAAACGTACCTATGACCTGTAAAGACCCCAAAAGACTCGAGAAACACTAGAAAGACTCTATAAATAAGACATATACCATGGTTAAAAACCATAAAAACCATGATATATCATCCGCGCGTTGCGCAGAATTTATTTTTTAACCACCTAATTCATCATATTCATTTTCTTATTTTCTTGATTTTATTAAACTCATTTTCCATCTTCTTTTTTTTTTTGAATATGATGTTAAATTATACTCAAAAGAAACACAACTGGTTTTTTTACATCTTTTGACTTTTTAGGGTCGAAACAGAAAACTTTGAAACTTTGGTTTTTATGTTGAGCGAGTTGCGAACCAAGTTGTCAAACCTTCTTCATACTTTCGTCTCCCCAGCTCTCTTAGCGAGCTGGTTCTGTTCTTCACCATCACTTCAATCGACTTTTCCAGTCTCCAATACTTCTTCGGTATTTCGTTGTGCCTCCTACAGTTTCTCTCTTGCCAAATGTGGTAGATCGCTGCTTGGAGAGCGTATCAGACCAAGAATGCCATGATCCTGTTGTGTGGAGGTTATATCACCATGGCCATAATCTCCTCCCAAACAACAGTAAAATCTCTGTTTCAGTATTTCTCCCATCAGTTTCTTCCATATTTTGCTCGAAAATGGACATGAGAAAAAAAGATGGTCTCGGGTCTCTCTTGGCTCATTACAGAAGGAACAGCCAGCGTGTGCATTGGTGTTCCAACATTCTGTCACCTGTAGAAAGACGGTTTCGGGCTGCAAGCCAAGTAACAAAGGTTAACTTTGGAGTATACCAAATCCTTGGGTGATAGTCCCATATCGTATTTTGGATTCTGATTTTCTCCATAGTTTCCTTTGAGCTGAATTCTGCTTTGTATTCCCCATTTTTACCTATCCATAGCTGGATATCCCTTTCCTCTTGGACTCTGTTTTGCCTCTTTTCTGCTATTTCCTCTGCAACCTGAGTGAGGAGCTGATTTCTGTGTCTTCTCCTTCGTTCTTTGCTTATAACTTCAGCTAGAGACGCATTCTTCTTGACACCAAAGTCGATAAAACCCCAAGCTCTGAACACATCATATAGGCACCCTAGATTGCTCCAATTATCAAACCAGAAGGAGACCAATTTACCATTCTTAACTTCAAGTCTGCAGTAGCGTTTAGCGATCTCTCTATATTTCAACATCTTCTTCCAAATCCAAAAACCCAAAGAAGAAGTATCACAAACAGCCCAGAAAGAACTTTTCTTGATTAAATATCTCTGAATCCAGCTTACCCACAGCAAATCTCTTGCGGATAGCAGTCTCCATATCAGCTTTAATACGCAGACTTTGTTCACCTCCTCCAAACATTTCAGTCCAAGACCTCCTTCTTTCTTGGGAGTACAAACAACTTTCCATGAAAATTTTGCCTTTTTTGAGTTCAGATCTGGTCCAGACCATAAAAAGCTGCACATAGTTTATCTATTTCTTGGATGCAAGCTTTTGGAAGTCAGAAGACCGCCATCCAGAAATTTGTCAAGCTGAAAATAACCGATTGAAGCAATTGCAGCCGACCTGCAAAAGAGATATGTCGAGTGGTCCATGAAGTAATTTTCTTACGAATCTGCTCGAGGAGCATAGTCTGATGCTGTCATCTTCCTGGTTAGAAGAGGTAGACCCAAATATCTTACAAGGGGAGTTCCGTAATCGAAATGAAATTGGTTCATCATCTCCATCCTTCTGTCTTCAGTTACTCCGGCCATGTAAATAGTAGATTTTTCTATACTTACATGGAGCCCAGAATGGATTCCAAAATCATCAAAAACCTCCAGCACTCCTTCAATAGATCGTTTGTTTCCCTCAACAAATACCATAAGGTCGTCTGCGAAACATAAATGGGTAAGGTTCAGATCCTTACACTTCCGGTGGAAACCAATTTTTCCTTCCTTCGTTGTTTTGTCCAAGTTCTTTGATAAAATGTTCATACAGATAACGAACAAATAAGGAGAGAGAGAGAGCATCCCTGCCTTAAACCTCTAGCGCTTCCAAAATAACCTGCCAGCTCTCCATTTACTTGTACCGAGAAAGAAGCAGAGGATATGCATAGAGAGATCCAATGTACATAAATTTCCGGGAACTTCATAGCTTTCAGAGTGTTTATCAAGGACTCCCACTGGAATGAGTCAAATTCTTTGAAGATATCTATCTTCATAGCACACCTAGGCTTTGTGTTATCTTTGTGGTAGTCATTTACTAGCGTAGTAGCTAAAAGGAGGTTCTCCATCAGCAATCTGTCTTTAACAAAAGCAGATTGGTTGGGAGCAATGAACTTGGGAAGGATTATTTTCAGTCGGTTTGCAAGGATCTTAGATATGATATTGTAGATCACATTGCAACATGATATTGGCCTGTAATTCTTCATTGTTTGTGCCTCTGTTTTCTTTGGAATCAGCGCGAGAATAGTCGAATTAATCCCCTTCGGGAGGAAACCAAATCTGAAGAAGGATGTGATCGACTCGACGAGGTCCTTACCCACTATCTCCCATGTGTCTCTATAAAACTCCACTGTAAACCCATGTGGTCCTGAGAATTTTTCCTTGGGCATGGAAAATAGGACCCGTCTTATTTCTGCTTCGGTAACTTCGTGTGCCAGAAATTGAGCATCAGCTTGGTCACACCGATAATCAATGATGTGCTCCAGCTCCTCAACTGACCAAGCTTCGTAGTCATTTGGTTTCTGGTTTAGAAATTCACTAAAATAACAGCTTCAGTTTTGATTCCCATAGCATCTACTACTTTCGAACCATCTGGGCATGTTATTTTACTGATACTGTTTCTGCTTGCTCTCAATTTCACTCGCATTGAAAAAGCTTTTTTATTCTGATCCCCAGATTTTAGCCAAAACATTTTAGCTTTTTGTCTCAAGTATCTTTCTTCTATTTGTGCAAGTCTGTTCCACTGATCATATGCCGCTTATTCTGCTTCAGTTGCCTGGGTATTTGGGGTGATCATTGTTATATTCTGCTTCTCACAAAGCGTACTATATGCATCAGCTGTTCTCTTGGTGAGGTTGCTCATCATCTCTCTCCCCATGCTTCGTAAAATTGGCTTTAATCCTTTTAACTTCTTTGATAAGCGAAACAAGGCTGAAGTGGATTGAAAAATATCATCTGAGAGATTCCAATACTCCTTGATCTTGTCTTTGAAATTCCAACTTGCAGCTATGGTATTTGTGTATTTGAAAGGCCCCTTTTTCTTTGGCTCCTCTTCCTTGATGTAAAACTTGCATCT